CCCCAAAACCCCAAAACCCCAAAACCCCAAAACCCCGAAAGTTAAAAATTCTATTGATTGACTAAATTAATCACATTCTGGGTAGTATGGAGGCTTGATTAGCTTTTCCTTGATTTTATCCAATTTGACAGTCTCAAGCCATGGGTGATTAAATATCTCATCACTATTGTTATGGCCAAGCCTTTCTTCAGGGTTACGAATCAATAGTTTTGTGATGAAATCTTTCATTTCTTCACTCATAAATATTTTGTGCTTAACTGGATCAGGAAAAATTAACTTTCCTTTTTGAATTAATTTTGTTACCATATGCGGATTCTTGTGGAAAAATGGAGTTCTTCCACATCAGAGTTCATATCAAATAATTCCAAGGGTCCACCAATCAACTGAGAAACTGTGGCCAGAGTTAGATACTATCTCTGGAGCAAGGTATTCTGTTGTCCCACAGAAAGTGTAGGTAACTTCGCTCGATATATTTAGAAGTTTGGCAAGTCCGAAATCTCAAAGCTTGATATACCCATCTTCACCCATGAGAACATTTTCGAGCTTCAAATCCCGGTGAACAAGGTTATTTTCATGAAGGTAGTTGAGCCCAAGAGCTAGCTGTGCTACATAAAACTTGACTGCTTCCTCCTCGAATCTTTTAACCTTGAACATGTTCTTGTACATGTTGCCTCCTGCGATGTATTCCAGGAAGAAATAATACCTCTTTTCGTTCTCTATTAAATATGTCATCGTCAATAAAAATGGGTGATTTAAGTTCATCAGGATCTCTTTTTCATTCTCAGTGCTTTCCTTGAGACTTTTATCGGTCAGAATGGACTTTTTGATTCTTTTCATTGCATATTTCTTCCCGTCAGGAAGATATTCGGTGAGAAAGACTTCACCAAAGGATCCTTTGTCAATAACTTTCCTGACACGGAAATCATCCAAGGAGACATCAGTGCGGCATTTAGGAGACTCATCAAACTCGTCATCAACTTCTTCATAAACAATTTCGATTTTCTCTTCTTCAAAATCGATAAATTGATTCTTCGAGGGGGAATACTTCTTGTGGGCATCATCTTTAGGAGCTTTGTGACGTTTATCCGCAAGATTTGTGGTCCCTGCAAGGAGCTTGTCCGACTCAAAATCATTGGGAGTATCTTCAGAGGACCATTTCTGGAATCTTGAGACATTGGGAGGCTTCACTAACTTTTGGTTGAATACGTATCCTCTTGACCTTTCATCAGCAGCTGGCTTGTTGTGTATCATTTTAGACCTGATTACCTTATTTTCTTTGTTGTCTTTTAGCTCATTCTGCTGTTTTTTTAGGTAATCTTCGTTGTTGTAGTGCTTAGCGTAATTTGGATCATGTCGAGTAGGGTTCCTGGCTGGAATTTCATCAAATTTATCAACTTTCTAAGAAGAGGATTGATCAATTGTTTATTCGAAGGATGTTGAAACTTACCGGACTTTCTGGCTCATCATCTTTGCCATCCTCGAGAATGTCTTCATATGGCAAAGCTCAGTCTCTGCTAGGCATTCTCGTTAGTCCTTGTTCACCCTCATCTTTAGTCGTGCAATAATGGACAAGTTTTGATTCAGCTGGAGCAAATACGGGTAAATTATCTTTCTTCGAGTAGGCATATAGTCTTTTCACCAAATCCATGATTTCATCTCTGTTAGTCGTATAGAAGAACTCGTCGGCTCCACCCCTGATGTGAATCAAGAGGGATTTCGAGCTACATTTCATTTTATTTGCTAAGACCAGCAACATGAGAAATGGGCACTTTTCGCCTAATTTCATTTCCACTTTTATTTGTGAAGAACAACAGATCAAAATTCGTGATTGAAAACTTGGATTTCTTCCTAAAAATTCCGTAATCTCCTGTCTCAATTGTATATGTGGCTAGGGTCTCTAAAGAAGTTGTGAGGTTTTGCAGGCGCATGTCCAAAAGTAATGGAATGTTTCGTTAAATACTTCAAGCTGTCCTAATGTGCCATAATTATGGTAATACAAAAGAAAGGTTAGCTATAGCATTTCAGAGTGTGGATGTAGATTTGGAAAATATTTATTTACCTGTTACATATCTATCCATCTTGAAATCAGTTAATTTTTATAACAGTTCTTAAGTATTTGAACTTCATTATGGGGTTTTGGGGTTTTGGGGTTTTGGGGTTTTGGGTTTTGGGGAG